CTCCCAAGCACTGGCATTACAGGCATACGCCACCATGCCCAGTCTCGATTGCCATCTCAGTGCACCCCAGGGCTGAGGCCAGCATGGCAGGCCAGGGATCGAACCCCCAGCCCCTGTGTCTGCCTAAGCAGGAGCTTTAATCTGCTGAGCTGTCTGGCCGGCCCTAGCATGGGCTTTTCTTGAAGCAAATATCTCCCGAGATTTTATTTTACCTCTTTATAACTGTGTGACTTCCATCAAATTACTCAGCCTCTCTGATCCTCAGTTTCTTCAAATCTTACATAGGTGTAAAGAAAATAAACTTCACAGACCTCTTATGGGAAATGAATTAGTAAGACTTTTCCTGAGGATTCAACATGGCTAAACAGACGTGGAGCCACTTTGGAATTACTCAGAGAAAATCAACAAAAAATACAGATATGAGGAAAGGGAAGGACATACATGCTGACGCCAAAATCAATCTGAAATAAGGGACTTGTAGATCAAACAAAAGACACAGGACTTTGCAAAACAGCAATCCAGCACACAGGGCTGCAGGTGGCACTGTCGCCTTCTTGCCAAGCAAAAATCACCTTACTAGGAAGTCTCCATGAAACTTATGGACTGCAAATGTGTGGATACCTGAAGCCCCACAGGATAGGCTTGGGATACACTGTCCCTTGCCTCTTTGCCTTCCTCCACAGAGGACATGGCAGACTCAAAACAAATTTATTTCTTTCTTTTTTTTTAACCACTGGAGCATTTCACAAAAATGAAATCTGACTTGCATTTTATTTTAGAAGTTGGTAGTACTTATTTTTATTTTAGAAGTTTGTAGAACGTGATCTGTGCTATGTTATTATTTAGTATTATTTCTAGCATGGAATTTTGGCAGCATAATCTAATAAAAGTGCTTCCTGTCCATTTCTTTTTCACCCTCATTTAATCCTCACTTGTCAATAGAAATGGTAAAAAATAAAGTCAAAATGCAGTTTAAAAAAAAAGAAATTCACCAGCACTGCTCCCTCTAGGGACCACACTGGAGCTGGTCCATAATACTTCCTGCCCTATGGCCAGTGAGGGAGACAAAGACACACACATGGGATTTAAGTAGCTGTGGCACTCCTCTGCTGTGGAAGTAGAGGTGGGAGCAGACTGCAGCGTCAGGCTGCCTCCAAGACAGTGGCAGAAGCAATGAGTCAGGAAGGTGGTGGTGGTGGCAGCTGCCCAGCAGCAGCAGTGAAGATGTGGACAGGCACAAGCCCTCCCACCCTGTGGCCAGTGGCTTGAGAGAATTTAAGCCATCTTGCACTGAGGGACAGCAATGAATGGGAGGTTGACATTCTACCTGTGACAGAGGAGACTGAAGTGGAACTAGATGTCTCTGTATGCATGGAAGAAGAAAAGGCAGCCCACAGCACCCCGCCCCTCCCCGCCCTGTAACAAGTGGTATGACAGGATTACAATGTGGAAGTGGATCAGAGAAGGCTGGGCTGACAGGGAGGGGCCAACTGCGGCACACTGGGAGCAGCTCGGGCTGTCTCTGTGGGTGCCACAGCAAGTAGGAGAGAGACAGAGAGACAAACAGGTATTTCAGGTTGTTTAGGTCTCTACCTTTATTCTTTTTGTTCTTGTTGTTCTGATCTATTCCTCTTCTTTCTCTTGTTCCTCAACTATCTCTTTTCATTTTATGATATCTTCATGTGAGTGAACATTTTTCACCAGTCTTTCTGATTGACTTCACTCATTTTTTATTTTTCCTTCATTCTCTCTTCTGCCCCCTTTTCCAGTTCCCCAAAGCCTGGGTGATCATCCTTTGCCCTCCAGCTTTTATTCTACAATATTTCTCTTCATTTGTGTTTTGCTCGCTATTCCTCTTAAATTTCCCCACCACATAGTGAAATCACCCTAATAAGGAGAAACTTTTTGCATACAAGTTCCTGAATAATGGTGGATTATTTTATGTAACTGTAGGCCTTACCTATATGGTTACAGGTACGTAGGTTTTGATTAATAATCAAAACTATTTGGCAGGTTTTAGGCCCTGCTTAATGTCATTGTTATTGATAATTATGCTATATTAGCCAGAATATTGTAATCAGTTGCTCTCCTTTATATGAAAAATGGATATAGCTCAGCAGCACAAGTTCCAGCCTGGAAAGCACAAGGTCCTTAGTTCAATTGCAGGCACCAAAAACAAGCAGAGTGAATGACAACACTGTGATTGTCTAGGGTCATAACCATCACCATCATCCACTACCAATGGACTGGGTGCTGAGCCAAATCGATAGCAACACCTCATCCTTAACAAACTGGGAAGGTTGGATCTCAGACAGACACAAAGACCAAGAAACAACTACAGCTACAAGACTGAGGGACAGACCGTCCCCAGGGAAGCCTTGCTGCTAGAGATAGCTATCTACTATAAAGCTACTTACTATTAAAAACTTACAAGTATCAAACAAGAAAACAAAATAAAATTAAAAACTAGAAAATGACAAGATGCAAAAGTAAAATGCACCCTAGACCTCCAGACCACCCTGGAAAAATCCAGGGGACAAAGAGATACAGGAAATGAGATGCTACCTATCTGAATGCTCTGGGATGATAGCAACAAAAGTTAAAAGAAAAGAAGCAATGATACAATCTGAGGTACAGGATCTCAGGATAAATCCTGAGGGTATTCCTTATCAGACTCAAAAGCTACAACATTTGTTGCATAGGTCTTGCTTTATCTTGGTCTTAACCATCCAGCAGAAAAGTATAAA